TTGCTGTTGTTTGACAGGTGTGTGTTGCTGTTGTATTGACAGGTGTGTGTCGCTGTTGTTTTGTCACTTAGCTGCGTTTGACGATGCTGTGGAGGAAAGGGTGATCAATGAGGAGTACAAGATCTGGAAGAAGAACACCCCTTTCCTCTACGACCTGGTCATGACTCACGCCCTGGAGTGGCCCAGCCTCACCGCCCAGTGGCTGCCAGATGTCACCAGGTGAGAGTTTGACTCCCTCCCTGCCGCCCCTGACCTGCACCAGAACATGACAAGAGAAAAGACCTGGGGTGATGTATCCAGTGTTGTGCTCCTCTTCACAGGCCAGAGGGGAAAGACTATAGTGTGCACAGGCTGGTTCTGGGTACACACACCTCTGATGAGCAGAACCACCTTGTGATCGCCAGCGTCCAGCTCCCGAACGACGATGCTCAGTTCGACGCCTCACACTATGACAGCGAGAAAGGAGGTGAGGGGATTACCTTTTATTTTATAGCACAGACATTGTCTGTTTTTCAGTGTCATCAATCTGTCAAAAAGTTCTTACATTAGGATGTTGTGGTTGACAATTCTTCTCAATGAATTAATGAAATAAAATTTTCTAAAATCTTTAATGCTTCAGAAAACATAGGTATGTATTTTATTTTTATAAATTCTGATCACCATACTTCCATACAATATCCCATTTACCATGCGCTGTAGAATAGAATCCTTTTTTATTAATTTTATTTTTTTTACACATGGACATTTGCAAAAACCACCTCATGTGTATTATGGTATATCATGTATTCTTTATTTCAGAGTTTGGAGGTTTTGGATCTGTAAGTGGCAAGATAGAGATTGAGATCAAGATTAATCATGAGGGAGAGGTTAACAGAGCTCGCTACATGCCTCAGAATCCCTGCATCATTGCCACCAAGACCCCCACAAGTGATGTGCTGGTCTTTGACTACACGAAACACCCCTCCAAGCCCGGTAAGATTACAGCCAGAGAAGAGCCTTCGAAAGTAAATCTTTTCATCAAACAATTTATGTTAAATGGATTTTATTATCGTTACTTAAGACCCCTCAGGAGAGTGCACTCCAGATCTGCGCCTCAGAGGCCACCAGAAAGAAGGCTACGGCCTCTCCTGGAACCCTAACCTCAGTGGTTGTCTTCTCAGTGCTTCTGATGACCATGTAAGCAACCTGTCATTCTCTTCTATTCTGTACTTTCACTGCTTTTTTGTTTTTATTCATTTCTTACCCATCTCTGCTCTCGCTGATAGACTATCTGCCTGTGGGACATCAGCACCGTGCCCAAGGAGGGGAAGATTGTAGATGCTAAGACCATCTTCACAGGCCACACTGCTGTGGTGGAAGACGTGTCCTGGCATTTGCTCCATGAGTCACTCTTTGGATCTGTCGCAGATGACCAGAAACTCATGATGTGAGCTGTTCTTATGTTGACATTAAAAATTCTGCAATGACTTGAGAAAACCAATGTTGCTGCATGGTTTCAACTCTTTTTTTTAAAACGATAGCGCTTTTGTCTGCACAGCTGGGATACGCGGTCTAACAACACATCCAAGCCCAGCCATGCGGTGGACGCCCACACTGCCGAGGTCAACTGCCTCTCCTTCAATCCTTACAGTGAGTTCATCCTGGCCACTGGCTCTGCAGATAAGGTGGGTCCATGCTCTGTATAGCTGTTACACAGCAAGCCTCTGCACAATGATACATAATCTATTCTTATCCTCTCTGTAAAATGAGGTGAATCAATGACAGCAGCCTTTCTTTTATTTTTAGACCGTGGCCCTCTGGGACCTGAGGAACCTGAAGCTTAAGCTGCACTCGTTTGAGTCTCATAAAGACGAGATCTTCCAGGTAAGAAGTGAACTTCTGATCAGTGACATTCAAAGTGATTTATAAAAATATTTGCAAAGTTTGTAGTTGTCAACCTTTGGTAATCTTTAAAACAAACCCGAAAAAGAAATTCAAGTATGTACATGAGCAGAAAGATTTGCATTTAAAAAAAAAAATAAAAAATGAATGTGAATAAAATCTGTGAGTAATCTCAGCGATGAGGTTTAAGACTGAATAAAAAGGGGCTTCTGTTCACATCTGTTTACAAATACATAGCAGAAAATAAATTGTATAAAACTCTTATGTTCCCACACTGAGTTAGATTCCAGTCACAATGCAGAATACAGTTAGAACTGTTTCATTTACCTGTATGGTGTTGGATTTTTGCGATGGATGACAGAGTGGTCTCCTCTGCACATGCACTTAAAAAACAAATACCAATGTTCTCTGCATACCCCATGCAGAATTACTGTACAGGTTAACAAAAGTTGATTCATATTAGTGGTGTGCATCATCACTAGCCTTACAATTCGATCTGATTACAATTCAGCAGTCAACGAATGATTGATGATTCATTTCAATGTGTCACATCAACAGTTTTCTTTGCACATGGCTGCTTTTTCATCAGTTTATACAATCAGTCAAACAAATATGAACTCTGTTTGTATTAAGGAAGTGCTTTAAAAAGTATTATAGACTGTTGCTGTTATTACAATTATTCTGTAAATTACAAAATAAGGTTTTCAATTCAAAAATCAAACTACGTATGACAGTTGACAGTGTTCTGATTTGCAATGGTTTAGTTAAGACTGTGTGTGCTGCACCTAAAGCTTAAAAGGACAAACTCTGGGAGGAAACTTCTCTGTGTGTGTGTGTGTGTGTGTGTGTGTCGTTTAGTGTTGTTGATGTTGCCTGGTTATTTTTAGTTTTTAGGTTTAAGGGCAGAAATGTAACATCTGCTCCCTCTCAACAGGTTCAGTGGTCTCCTCATAATGAAACCATCCTGGCCTCCAGCGGCACAGACAGAAGGCTCAACGTCTGGGACCTCAGTAAGATCGGAGAGGAGCAGTCTCCAGAGGATGCTGAGGACGGCCCTCCTGAGCTGCTGGTCAGTTTTGTGGTGGTTGTGTGTGCTCACACAAATAAAGTTATTTTATAAATTGAATTTCAAGTGCTGTGTTAACCCCTCCTACTCTGTTTGCCTTTAGTTCATACACGGAGGACACACAGCTAAGATCTCAGATTTCTCTTGGAACCCCAATGAGCCGTGGGTCATCTGTTCTGTATCAGAGGACAACATCATGCAAGTCTGGCAGATGGTAAGAGCTTTGATACACAGTCAGGGAGTAAGATATTAATTTAACTGCGCTAGTGCAGTGTCTATTTTAAACATGTCTATTTGGAATGGGCTGTTTGCTTGGTCTGTGGTAATGCTGGTGCAACCTTTTTTTATGAAACTGTAAAAGTGACCTGCAGTAATTGAGCTGCCACAAGTAAAGACAGGCTGCTGGACTTCGGAAGCTGTTTAGTCAAAGTTTAGTGAAGCTCGACTCAGCATGTGGAAACACTTACTGGAGAATCAGTTGCCGTTGCTTGTCACGATCAATGTGTCCCAGCCACCACAATACACAGGCCGAGTGTGACACTGATAAGACGAACGCTTCTCAAGATATGTGAGACACATTAAGACACACAGAGAGATCTGGAATTATTATAGGGGATCATAAGAACAGTAATAAAATACATAATATGGTGGGACTTTGATTTTGAAGCACATTTATTATAACAGTACTGTTTGTCCAACAGGCTGAAAACATCTACAATGACGAGGACCCAGAGGGTGCTGCAGACTCAGAGGTCCAGGCATGAGTTCAGTCTCCACATCTCTTCGTTCGACCTGCTTGTTAAAAGCGGATCGTTTTTCCAGTGTTGGGTTCATAAGCAGTAATGTCTTTTTAAAAAAACACATTTTGGGCAGCAGTGGTTTTGTAGAAAATTTAAAAAAGAATAAAATGTTGCATTGTCATCATGTCGTGAAGTATTTAAAATCCAGTCTGTATCAGTCAAATTTTTAGATCTTTCAGTTTTTCAATCTCCCAGTTCTCCACTTTGGCTCATTGTGATGAAACCATTACACAGGACTCGTCGTCGTTATCATCCACTTTTGCATTTTAATGGTTTTATTTGATCTTGATTAGATGTGATGAAAACATTTTTACAGAGATCCATTTTTAATAAAATTGTACATATTGTAGGTTTTCCTCTATTTGCTTATTTGTAGTAGCAATTTTCCACATTTATGTGTCGTCACTTGTATGTTTTTTTTCTATGCATTATTTTTCCTGTGCTACATCTGATCTCTTGTGTACTTAAGTATATTCATAATAAAATATTTACATTAAATCTGTTTGCCTTGTTTATTAGTACATGCCATTATATTACGTTAGAATAATCAGAGGTACATTTTTGATAAAATTGAGGGGTACTAAATGATGGAATGGCTTTGCCCAGATGGCAAAAAACGTAAAACACATTTCTAACAAAAACACAGTTATAAGACAATTTAAGTGCTGTTCTTCAGCTATCCATGTCTATGGAGGCATTTAATGTTTCATTCGTTGAGTCAGTACATGTGTAAAACCATACCTGCCTTACAACACATGTACTGGACTCATTCACGTCACATCTTTTGCTTTTATCTTGATATCATATTGTTTTTTTGTAACACATACAGTATATTGTTACTGTCACCCAGGAACTCATAATTTCCTGCATCTGTTATAATATTTTTTACATTTTAGATTGAATAATACTGCCTTTTATTAAGGTTTAGCTGTTGAACAAGAAAAGTAAAGGCAGTGCCATGGTTTGGTCTGGTGTCACAATATTCACTGGAAATAGAATTTTATGGCTCTTCTGCAGTGGTGGTTTTGCTGGCTTCATCACTGCCTCTATAAAACAAGACATTGGTCAGTCATTTATTATCCTGATGCTCAGTTTATAGAAGGTCATATAGTGAAAAGAGAATAGACCTACATGAGAAATGTCAGCTCTGTTAAAAGTCCATCTTTAAGATCCTCCAAACCTTTCTTAGATTGTCTCTGAACATCAAACTCCACCTCTAGTTCTCTCAGAGTCTCTCTTAGTGTCTCCACAGTCTCCTGTAATAAAGAGGAGAAACAGCTTAGTTTCACATGGTCTTTATATTCATCATCACTCAAATCACCGTACCTTATGTTGAGTGATGCGTTGCTCCCTCTCCCTCTCCATCAGAAAGATCCTCTGCTCCAGACAGGCTCTCTGCACCTCCAGTCTCTGGACGTCCTCTCTCAGGGGCCCCAGGCTGGCCCTCAGGTCCCTCGCCTGCTCCCTGCTCTTTCTCAGGGCATCCTCCCCGACCTGCCTCCTCTTCAGCAGGGCCATGAGTCGGGGCTCGTACCATCCCTCCAGTGCCCTCACGCTGCCGCTGAGCCGCCGCTGCAGTCTAACAGAGGCCTGGCGGCACTGGCTGACATCACTCATGGCTCTGGGCCGGCAGGGCTTAGCGGCCTGGGCCCTCAGGGAGGTGAGCCTGATATTTTGGGCCTTGTGAAGCTGGGACAACTCCTGAGACAGAGTTTGGATGTAGGTCTTGAGCTCCTCCTAGGAAAATAATTGATGAATTATTAATCATGTTTTTATTGAAATTTATCTGAGAACTGTGAGGAAATAAACAGCAAAAGAGCTAATCCTAAAAAATATGACAGAAGTAAACAATGGGACAGCACAAGATTCACACATGATCATACATTTTTATTTTGTTAAATATTAATGGGTTTAGAGTTTCATACTTCAACTGTTTCCTAAAAACCCTAATTTCCTTGTACAATAATAAGTTTATTGTTCATTTTTAAGACATATTTAAAAGGATCTAACAGTTTTGCTTGTGATTGTTCTGTGTCTATATTCATGTATGAAATTATATTTGTCTTTGATGACATTCATTTTGACATTCATTTTTATTTTTATCATCCATAGAACTATGATTTCATCTTCCACCACTTCACAATGACCCACCAGAATAAATGAGTTCCACAGGCGTTGTGTCCTACCTGTGTAACAGCAGACTGAGCCACCTCATACTCATGTGCAGCCAGCGTCAGCTGGCTCTGGATGCAGTCTCTGGCTGTGGCGAAGAGTTTCCTCTTCACTCTCTTCACCTCCTCAAAAACGGCTGCGTAGTCCAGCTCAGCCAGCGTGAGCAGCCTCTGTGTCTCAGCCACCTTCCCCCTCAGGTGCTCCACCATCCGCAGCATGGGCTCCTGCAGCCGGAGGAGCTCCTGCACCAGCTCGTCTCTCTGCCTCTCCAGACGGGACACCTGCTGGATGCAGTGCTCAAAGAGCCGCCCCAAGTTGTCCATGACAACCTGGTCAAGGTGTGTTGTAAATAGCTGTGCACGCTCATCTGAGGGAATTGTCTGTGTTTCAGAGTCAGTGTGGCTGTTTTCTGTGATCTCTCCAACAATTCTAACCTCCATGGGAGAGTCATCAGTGGATGCCATGCCTTTTCCGTTCATTAGGAACCTTTCATTGTGAATGAGGTGCAGTGAACTAGAAGAAAGGAAGTTTAGAGTTGTCATTAATCAATCAATCAAAAACAACTAATGACTGATGAGATTGTGGGTTTAAAACCCACCTACAGTATCTGGTCGTTCATTACAGATAAATTTGCATGACAGAGAATTTTAATTTAAATGTTATCAAGTTAACAATGCTGATAGCTGCAAGTCTTAAAAACTGTCCCTTAGATCATTGTCAAAGACTGATCAATTACAGTTATATATATTTTATACTCACTTTATTCGGAGATGACCGTCCAGACAGCGATGGACACAGTTTGGTATAAGCGTTGAGGACAGCTCAGCAGAGTGTCTGTCTCCAGGAAAACATAGGCACACTTTCTGTTTATTAATAACACTCTGGGCCCGGGGGGGGGAAACTCTATCTAAGACTCTCTCATACCCCCACCACATGGGACCACAAACTGTGTCAGTGCTGAGGTCTGACTGGCCTACATGCTCTGGATGCACCAGCTAACACCCGTCCAGCCCGGGTGCCACACACAGAGCTATATTTACACAGCTTTACAGCCTGGTTTTATGTGCATCTAAGAAGACTGGCATAGTGGTCACAAACATTATCAGGTCCGTGCAGATAGTTTCCTCTAATATTGAGCTCATGCTGCACATAAAGACTTCATAGTTCATAAACTGTGTTTGTTTACATGCTGAGTGTGAGTGTCCCCTCTGACGAATGGAAAGAAACACAAGCTGAGATGCAGATGAGGAGTTTTGTAACAATTTGAGAGATGAGAGCATCTTGGGGATTGCTGGTGTTGATAGGGCAAACACATGGCTGCATATTGTTTGTTTACAGTGTTATGTGCTGTACGTTGCTTTGTTTTTGTTGTTCTGCAAGAATAAAACTAACAAAAAAAGGCCCATTCAGGTTCATAAGAGGGAATATAGACTTTTTTACTTTGCATGTACTTCACAAATATGTTTGCCTTCAAAAATTATAGAACAAAATGGTTTTTTTTTCTGCACAACCTCATCTTATTGTTGGCCAATTTCTATATTCAATTAATATGAATATTATATATAATATTATATTTGATTCATTCTATATTTTTAGAATTGTTGTATATCGTGTTATATTATATTGCATATAGACAGAGATAGGTAAATAGGATAATAATAAAAACAAAAATAATGAACTAATAAAAATAATTTAGATCACTATTTATGTATATTACATACATATGTATACACACATAGAAAAAAAGATACAGTCAAATAAAATAAAATGAAGTGAGACAGAAAAACAGAAAGCAAGAGGAAAAAAAAAGGTTGTCTATTTTCTGGAGCCAATTTCTCGTTAGGTGCTGATATCCGCAGTATTTATCATGTTCATTTTGTGTTCCATTTTGCCTAGCAGCACACGATCTGTGTTCAAGTGGATGATGCCTTTTAATCTAATTTAATCTATTTTGATCTAATCTAATCTAATCCAATCTAATCTAATCTAGTATTTATATTAATAGTTGTATCGTGCCTGTGTCGTATTGTGTGAACGTTTCCTGTCGCTGTATATATCTTTGTTTCTGTTGTGTTGCTTTGTTTTCTATTCTACTTTGATGATCAAGGGAGAAAAAAACAAATCCCTGCTCTTCCGGTCTTTCTCAGCTGTGACCTGCTGTTTCTCCGTCCCACCACTAGATGTCCCCACAACATTGACCGCGGCCTGTGGCTCTCACCTGAGCGCGCGCAGCCTCCTCCTGCAGGTGGGATCTGATCCGCAGGTCCGAGACTCTTCTCTTCATTTCCCCTCTCGTGGTCCAGAGGAGCGTCCACACAGGAAGCGGCGGAGAAGTTCAACTGAACAGGGCATCAGAAACAAAACTATCCGCTGCTGCTGCGGTGCAAACGAACGAGCCTCCCCGGTTTGCTCCCTCAAGAGATTTTCTTTCTTTTTTTTTTGTTCACGGAAATGCCTCACCTGAAGTTTTCCACCGCACGGTGAAAGTTTGGATCTGGAGAGGAAGGGCGCAGCAGGGAGACGCTTCAAATGGAGAGAGGCTGAATTTACGCATCTGGATCAGAAAAGTTTCACAAGGTATGATCGATACTTGTTTACTTGTTTGTGACTGTTTTCATTTGATCAGTTGAAAGTTCCTACTATGGACTAAAATTCCTCAATTTATCACTTCTCCAAACCTTTTTTTTAAACAGTGGGAATATGGTTTAACATTCTTGCAGAAAGTCCGAAATTATAGTAAAAAACCTCAGGATCAACAGAGTCAACTTTAACACATGTGCAGATTCTAGATCAAACTGTTGCATCATGTTGTCTGATTAGTCTGCTCCACCTTCTGTCATATTAAAACTGTATAAATCCACCCGAAATGAAGAAAATGGTCCTGTCTTGCTGAGAGGAGTGATCAGGCACAGTGAGGTGGAGGTGGCTGAGTATGGACATGCATGAAAAACTAGTTGTTTGGCTCAGCTTGGCCTTGAGGGATCCTGAGCAGAGGTAATCTAAGACATGTAGTGCTTCTCTCAGCTTGTGACAATGAAGTGTTGTGTTATATTCCCCCGTCACTGACCCAGCAGCAGATGACAGAATGGTGACTCTGTGTTTAATCTGTGCCAGTCAATGACAGCCCATGTGCACTCCATAATGGACCCACTTTGCTTGTTGATTAACCGGAGGCAGATAACACCCCCCCCTCCAGCTCAGGACCTCTCTGGTGAGGGTCTCTCCCCTCCTCTCTGTTTGCCTGCTCCTGGACTTTGAATCAAAGGCAAGCTCCAAACCCAAACTCTATCGAGAACCGTGATGGTGGTTGTTTTGTTTTTCTCTCTTATGTGGCACCATGGCTTCAAGTTTACCTCTTGTACTCTCTGGTAGGTGAGACACAGATATTTGTTTGGAAAGGGTGTGTCGCATACTGGTGCTCCTTCCTTAGCCAGCCTCGCCGTGCCAGGGCTTGTACCCATGGAGATTACAGGTGTGTTATGTCAGCACTATAGGAGACACAGCAGAGCCTGGTACATGAGATTCACAGAGAAAACATCGAGGAAGAGACACAGTGAGAAATCAGGTTTTTGAAAATTGCTTTCTATTTTTGGGACAAACACATGTGCAGCTATGTCCCAAATATTCTATGACAAAGTTCAAGTTCAGCTCTGCAGAGTTTTTACAGTGTTTGCTCGTGACCCATCAGTGATGAAGGGGCACCTCAGTGAAGGAAAGAGGGAACTATTAGTGTTGTAATAGTTAGACACATGATTATGAGTGGTGTGTGTGTGGGGGGCTGATGAGTGGGACAATAGCACCTTGTTAATCAAAGCAATTAGCCGATGATTAACTCAGTGGCTCCTCATCCATACTGAATCAGTAGCTGTGAGGTGCAGTATAGGGCATGTAAAAGAAAAAAAAGCATGTGCCAGTGTCAGTTTCTTGTCTTTTAAGAGATCACATGAGTTCTTCTACATTCAAACTTGGGGGTTTTCTTTTTTTATTCCCAAACTGCAATTTTGTTTACTCTTAGACTGAGTAGTTATCGTCAGACCGGAAGAAATTGGAGGCAGCTACAGTCAGAGCTTTTTGTTTTGACCGGGACATGAACAGAGAGCACCAAAGTGCCAGGATGTATTTTTAAACCCCTGGCTCCAGCTGTGTTTGTCTTCTGGTCACTGCCCGCTCCGCAACAGCTTTTTTTTTTGCCCCTTCCTGACCTGTCAGTTCAAGGGTCTTTAAGCTCCTCAGAGGCTGCAGTCCAGTCAAAGACCCCTGGCAACCCCTGGAAGAAAAGCAAACATGACACTTTACAGAGGCGTGCCACTGTCTGTGATGCATCTCAGAGCACTGACACATTACATTCCCCACTATTTCTATGGAAAGAAACAAAAAAAAAAACATTGGTTACTAAGATCATCAGGACTGTTGGAACTGGCCATTTGTTGGTTTGTTTGTAAGTTAGATTACAAAAAATAACTGGAAGGATTTCCTTGAAATTTGGAGGAAGGATGTCATATGGGTCAGGGAAGAATCCAATAGATTTTGCTGCGGATCTTGATCAGGGTGCAGATCCAGGATTTTTTCTGACACGTTAATGAAAAAAATTATTAATTAATCAAGGAAATAATCAGCAGATCAATCAATTATGGATAAGGTGATTGGTTGCAACCCTTAACAAAAACGTAGATGGATGCGAGGCTTGTTAAAACACACACACACGCACACACACACAATCACACACACACAGCTTTGAACTTCCATTCATTGTGGACAGCCTAGCCATAACCTTATCCCTAACCCGTAATTGTGACCTTATAAATTATGTATTGCCTCATTAGAACCTGGCTTTGGTCTCGACGAGGTCTACTGGTCTCGACAAGATCAGTGTTTATGCTGGAAAAGGTCCTACAGAGGTAACAAAAATGAGTAAACACACATTTTATCTTAAAACATATGCAAAGATATGAAAATATGTACAGTCCCCATCACTGTAGAGTATTTGTAACTCCCTCTATGAAAAGCATTCTCTCTGAACAATAATATCTGCGAGTGCAGATAACAACATATTACAATGTTAGCTCAAAATGACTGTCATGAGCTGTCCATTATCCTCCCTTTTTTCTTTCATGGCTCAGTCAGGGGGGATGTGTGGTACGGATGGTCGGGGCAACAGTGAGGGAGGGAAGCAGGGGATGATGGGCAGAGGATGGGGGGGTAGTGTGCGTGTGTGTCGGGGGGTGAAAGCAGATTTGGAGAGAAGAGTTCCTCAGTGGGTAATTATCAATCTCTCAGGAATGTAGCCGCTGCTCTTAGCAGACAAGCCGCTGCATGGCTACAGAGGCCTCGCAGCACGCCAACTCGCATTACCCCGTCCACAGATCTCTGCACGGTACCATCTCTCTCTCTCTCTCTCTCTCTCTCTCTCTCTCTCTCTCTCTCTCGCTCTCTCTCTCTCTCTCTCTCTCTCTCTCTCTCTTCACACACACACACACACACACAGTGTCCGCAACCTCTGTGAGTTCAGTTACACAGCATTTTGGTTTATTTGCAACATTGTTTATTTTTATCACTGTCATTACCTACCCGGTGTTTTTCTGACACTTTATCCTTCCTGCAACAAACAAAGGGACCACATGCTGTCAGTTAGCCCTTCATTCAGCACTGTTTGTTTATGCTCATGTGTTGGTATGAAACCAAACTGTTGGAAACTTGTGGCCATCATGGACACCTTTTTTTGAAATCTTCTCCATCACTATAAAAGGAACTTCACTGTGATGGAGGAGACACTTTCTTTTATTGATGACTCACAAAGAAAAAGAGATCGTCCCTGGTCATGGAATTGATTATTTCCGGTTTTATCACAGCATTGCCTCCACATCCAAGTGCATTTCTTTTGCACTGAGTATTTGCACATGAGTGTGAAGCGTTCTAGCCCAGACAAGGTTGCTTAAGTCTGCTCTCCTTTGTTTGATAACGCCCAGAGAAGACAGCCAACGCCCTGGTTGATGCCTAAAGGTGCTGTGCAGTAACACCAGTTTTATACCCTGCTAAACACTTGCAATTTACTTACACAGTCACTGTAAGTGTAGTTTCAAAACTGTTATTGACCAAAGCCGGCAGTTACTGTAAATCCTCTACCCTGGTGATTTCAGCAGGAAGACTGGAAACTTCTCTTCCTTCCTCCAAAAACAGATTATTAACCTTCCTAATCTGTTGTTTCCTTATTAGACTAACCACATTCTGGCCGACCTTAACCTCTGCTCGCTGACAGCTGAGTCGTCGTACCCTGTGAAACCCGGCCACTCAGGCGCACAGATATGAACTTCTGGTTAAAACTGAGCCAGTCCTAATTCAAACAAAGGTGGCTGCCTGCATTGCCGCCTGCGCCACTCCCTCTTGGCTTCGCCTTATTCCCCCTGCGAGGTGGCAGCGTCTGCTCCGTCAGCCTCCCGGTGAGTCACCGCCATCAAAGCTGCAGTTCCTGGAGCTTCCTTCTCCCCACACCACCTTCACAATGTTCACATTGATAAGAGTGTGATTACACATGAGATTAAAATGAGAATTGTGTGACTGTGCCGCAAATTTTTGTCACAATTTTATTTTTTTAGATCTTAAAATTCTCTCTTTACCACATGGTTGCAGCTTGTCACACAAAATAAATCAATTTGTTTCTAGAAAACCTTCCCAAACGCAGTCAACTGTTTGGAGTGAGTTTAGTTTGAGTTTTAAATCCTGCCCTCGAGCCTGTCTGTTTAAAACAAATACTGAAACATTTTTCCAATTCCGCTTCGACACAGTTCTGTTCAGGGTGTGTGTTTGTAGTTGTTGCTTGGATTTAAAGTGGTTTTCAAATATAACAACAACTGGTTTTCCCTCTTTCTTCTCTCACCAGTTTGACACAGCGGTGCACAATATTGAGCCCAGTGTAAAACACAGATCTATGCTGCATTATCTTGGATTTAGGACTCTGGCTCTATAGAGTAACTGATGCTGCCTTGCCTCAGGCCAGATAGGTGTCAGTGCTTTGCTTTGACTCTGTTGACCTGCTAAAAAGAGGACAGGAGTCCCAGATTTTCCATGTCCTGAAGCTGCGCAACGTGCAGCTAGCAGGGGGACATAATCAATAAATGCTGTTCCCCAGATACGAGAGGCCTCGCAGTCTATTTCCTGACAGTGTGTAAACTATTATCAGTCCTCGATTTGCTTTATGGTGACGTGTACACAAACACACACCGCTGTCAATGACAGATAATCGCTCTGCGCTGCAGGTATTGACACACTGCGTTGAGGTTTTGCCGTGTTAGAGCGGTGCCTCCCGTCCGACGCGATGGCCCCACGTCTTTTGTGAAGGGTAAGTAAACAGCATGTTGGAACATGTCCCCTCTGCGGAGTGAGTGAGTGAAGTGAGGGAGTGAGTGAGTTTTCTTGTCTGTTTGGGCACATTACTTGAT